AATGATTCCAAGAATGGGAAAGAATGATCTCTCTGAGAGCCATGTTGAGTAGGAGCTGGACCAGGTAATTCCTCAACCCCAACAAATTTCATTCGTGCAACACTAAGCACCAGTGCTAAGAGGATGAGAAGTCCCAAAAGTAAAAAACCAAATAACCAAGGTCCCCCAAATGTGTAGATTAACTCTTCAAGAGCTGTAAAACAGTGTGGCATGTGATATCTGTCTGAAATGCAGTCATAAGGACAGGGGGTTTTGGCAACACCACCTGTGCAGGAAGGAGGAGGTTTTGAATTAATTTATGCTAAATAAAAACTGGAAAAAATAGTTGGTCCAAAAGAATCTAATAACTGTGTGTATAAGAGCAGTGTGTCATTCGAATAAAATCTGCATGATACTGACAACAAGCAAGTGTACCTCTAACAGCAGCATAAATGGCACGCCGGGGAAGCTCTGAAGCAGGGCAAGGACGACAGAGAGAACTATCAGATCCACTAACATTCTTGTAAGTACCAACAGGACACTCCTGTAGAAACAGAAAGTTAACTTCAACTGTGTAAAGTATTACTAGTTTGCATCAGATCAAAAGAAAATAAATGGATATATACTAGTAGAAAGAGGGGAAAGGTAGATTTGCTCCAACCAATTTGGAAAAGCAGACAACATTATCCAAACAAAGTAAATTTCATTCGAAAAATCCATTGGCCATAAAGATGGCCGACAGATTTTTTCTAATTTAACCTTGAAAAGTGCAAGCAGTTCACTTGATGTAGAATGTTAATTTGATTATTGAACATTTTAAAGTTCCAAGTGCTTAAAATGAAAGTATAGCATCAACAACAGAATTGCCAACTTACCGTACAAAATGTCCCATACAACCCCTTTGGACAAGCTTTACCGGTCACAGTTCCATCTTCTCCACCACCACTCACATCTCTGTCTAATCCTCCCCTGTACAAGTCAATCAAAACATCACCATTATATCAAGAGGATAAACTCCATAAACAAATATCTATAGCAAGCATCAAGTCAATTAACATGAAGTAGATGTCGTTCCTTTTTGGCAGTGACTGCACTGCCAGTAACAGAGAGCTTGTTTGATAATTTTTTATTAAATCTGTTCCATTGAAATATAGGTCCAGCTAGGCGCTTCAATGCAACAACAAAATATAGGGATGGATTACCAACTAATGCAACCAAAATGCCAAGGTATATTCATAAACTTGACAGATTTATCTCTTTCATAGCACCAAAAAGAGATCCAAGTATTGCAGCATAAGTAATTTTAGTCTGCCACCAAAGTCCAAAAGCAAATCCAATACAAACATATTTGCAATTTAAGGATTCAATCTACAATTTTCTGAAAAATACAAAGCATACTAATCACTTCATGAGCTGTATAACAGTAACTACATGTAAAACTGTTGCATTTCTAACATATCCATGAAACATTCCCCGTGAAATAATATTTGGGAAGGTACACTTCATGGTTAATATATGACCATGCTTTGGATTAATTTTTATATTCTTCTTTTTATAGTATCAATTTTTCTATTTGCTAATGCCCTCAACAGAACAAAAAGGAAGAAGCTATATAAACTCGGGTGACAAGTTCTGGGCTGAAAAGCTTGTTAGCATTAATCTTAAAACATCATTTTATGGACATATACCACCTGGAGCATTGATTGACCAATATATCACGGACATAGAAATGTTATCAAACATTTTGGACCATTAGTAACCTAATATTCAAAAGAAGAAAAAAATTTCACATTAGAAACAAACCTAGCATAGATGCTTCCCTTCACACTAGCAATTGGCTGGTAAACATCTCCAGTGGGAATGTCTGACCAATGAAAATGAATCCTTCCACCTCCTCCTCCACCACTGCCTTTGGAACTACCATAGCCTCCAATGCTTGAAAGAATAGCAGATTTGCCAAGAGTCAATGTATGCAGAAACAGAAGTACGGTACCACCAGAGCCACCCCCTGGAGCTATGCTTGAATCACTAAAAACAGAATACCCTCGGTGCCAGATAGTTTCTCCAAAGCTTTCTCCATCAGCCCTCACAGCACCCTCAACAGACAAACTTGGCAAAGGATGCTCCATGGAACCCATCACTGTTCAGGCATAACATCTCATAAAAATTTTAAGACAAACTTAATAAAAACAGTAGCTATTATTGATATTCAAGACAACAAACTGTTTCTAATCTAATGGTTGAGATTCATAACATTTGAATTTTTGTAGCTCAACCATTGTTAAAACTTTTTCCCTCCCCCTACCCATCCTTCCTAAAAATTAAGTGTGGGAGCCTAAGACCATACAACTTAAACATGTTCCTTTTTGACATATTAAGAAAAGTAAACCTTTTTCAACATTTCGTAATGCAAATCAAAAGCTCAATAATTAAAATACCCCAATCTTAAGAGATGATGGGAAAAAGTTCATATGTCAGTTATTGCATATCAACAACTAGTTGCCATAAATTCTAGTTGGCCAGCATGACCAGTAAAATGTCACCTAGTCATATGAACATTTCACACGAGACGGATACCAAAGTTAAAAAGCACTAAGACATCCCTTACTAAATGAGAAAGAAAAAAGCCATAGATATAACAATATATTCCCACAAAAAGAATGCAAACACTTTACCTATAACACCACCACCAGCAGTCGAATTAGCCGAGTTCTCATTTCCACTTCCACTACCAAGTTCACAGGGCAACTCTGAATTCCCGTATGAAACACCACCCTCAACACAACTACCATTATAACATGCAAAACCCCCTTTACCACCATGGCCGCCGCCACTGCCAATACCATTGTCTAAAAAATTTCCTCTACCAACACCACCTATGCATCCTGTACAAGAACAAAAAGAAGTCCATCAAGATATGACTTTCAACAAGTATCCCACTTATCTTTCTTTACTTGTCTTCAAGACAAATAAGAGATGCTAAGAAGGTATAAAAGACCACTTCCTATGGTGGAGTTGATTTGCTACATGGACATACATGTTTGCATATATATATATATATATATTATGAGAATGTGAATAAAATATAACCTAAAACACAATGGATACACATACCCATTCCAGATGCACTAATTACTCCAGACGACTGCACGGATACAGATCTCGCCCAATGGAAATGAACAACAGATCCCTTAATAAGACCTTCGACAGTTATGTCCTCAACTCGGCATATCTAAAATTAAACTAAATAAACAGTTAAATAAGAAGAAACAAACATATTTCTTAGACTATTACTGCACGACTATACTGAATAAACACCTGGAGTGTAAAAGGTAGAGATGAATTCACATTGCAATCCTCAGGTGGATGAAGTAGTTCAATGGGGCAATCTTGGAGCCCACAATAAAGCTTAGGCATTCTTCCAAACGCAAAAAGAGGAACAATTAGTAAACATAACAGTACAAATCTCTTATTATAAATTAATAATAAGGGTACAAATCTAGATACAAGGATGAAGCAATCAAAACCAGAACTTACACAACCCCAGGTGATGCAGTCTCTAGGGGACCACATAAAACAGATCCAGGTCCAACCTTCATTGAAACAGATTATTATTAATCCATCAATAATACGAGAGAGTAAAGACAGTCTCCCAGCATACAGCACTAAATCCTGCAGCGAGACCTTGTGTTTTAACTGTCATTACAATTCTTGCCCGCTAGCATGAATATGGCAACAAGGAAAATCAACAACAGAACTAAGAATCATGAGAAAAATTTACAATGATCTATACTATCCTCCATGTAAAGTAAAACAACCCAACAGTCAAACTTATACTCCATTCAAAGAGGGCCCAAAGAAAATTTTATACTTTGCTTAACTTTGTAAATCACGGGAAACTACAAAAAATCATTGTTCTTACTGAAACCGAAGGGGTAAATGGATTAAAAAGGAAAAGGAAACTTTAGACAGAGCGGTAAAACTTAACAGGTTACTTGTATAGTAATATCCTTATTGGCCAAAACTGACATTCAAACATTAAAAGTTGAAACAGTCGCAAAGCTTGTCCCCTAAACCGATATGTTCACAGAATATAAAATCAGAAATTCATTGGCCAACAGAATTTATGAACTTTTGAACCAAAAACAACAATTAATTATTGCAAAATAATAATCACTTACATGAATACTATAAAACAGTGATAGGACCAGACGTTGCGCCTGAATCTCATCTCCAGGTCCAGATAAATTCAATAACCCTTGTCCATGTACTCCCAGATTTGCATTTGAATGAATGACCGATGATTCCTGGGTGAGGGAAAGGAGCTTGTCAAGAATGATTACACTGAGAAACATGTAACGTTGATAGAGAGGAAGTATATTAAACACCTTGAGAACAACTAAGTTACTAGACTCAAGCCACGAAGTTGCAACAGTTGTGTCTTCACCACCATCTATTAGCATTTTGGAATTCCACATCAAGAATATTTTCACAGTCATGCGTAAAGCCCCATAGACCTGATATCAGTCAAACAGAGAGGTTATGAAGTAAAGTCTATAGACATGATATCAGAAACATATTATAAATAGGGAAAAAAGAAAACTAGGGTAGATTGGTCAAGTAAAGCAGAAAAGGGTAAAAAGCAGTTGGGATAGATTTTATATTTATTATCACATTAGAAATCATCTGGCTGCTTCAATAAGGATCTTTCAGAACTCAGAGACATGGTTACAAAGATACAACATATGGATAAAACTTCAATTAAAATAAAATCAACTACTATGTAATCTGTTTTCTGAAGCAGTAAACAACTTAGCAATGTGACAATGAAAAGAAATGAATAGTTACTATAATGATACAAAAAAAGAATACGAGGCTTCATCATTCAAGGTTTAAGAAAATGAGTCCATCACCTTGATTGTAGAATAACTCATTAACAGTTCTTCTGCCAATAGTTCAAACTCTGAAGATGCATAATGTGCTAGCCCAAAGCACAACATGCCCCCGCTCAGAAGGCTTATCTGCCCCTGCACCTATATAGGATGCAAACACTAAAATTAGTTATCTCGTGCCAAATCTAATTTTATCTCTGTAAATTTTACAAGCATAATCATAAAATAAGTAATACAGGAAGTGCAAGAAATGGTAACTACACCTAAAAAGGTGGGAGAAACTTAAAGAGACAACTTCAAATATTATAGGAGCATACACAATTTAATATTAGCTCAGATGGTAAAAGAAAAATTAGAACAGAAAACCCACTTTGAAGCATCCAAACCAATAATCATGAGTGTTGGCTGTTTGCATTGGGTGATATCAACATTTCTTAAAATCTTAACAAGAACAAAAACTTAAAATTCTCAAACCTGAACCCGGCTCCAAAGCAAAGGAACAGAGGCTCTGGCATGATTTTCAATATAGACGTTAGTCCAAAGTGGCTGATAAGGAAATTCTAGAAGAAGAGTATCTGTATCAGTTGACATATTATTATTGTTAACAGTAAGGCTTCTGGGGACAGCATCATAAAGGGTTCCAGCAGCACCAGAATTCTCTGGGCAGCCACGACTAACTCCTCCTGAAGTTAGAAAACAAACAAAAAATATTAAACAATGAAATCTGAAAGCTCTCAATGGTACATTTATTTTCCAAGCTTACCATCCAACAATAGTTAGTTTACTATTAAATTTATTCATTTATTTCACACCTTCATAAGGCATCCTTATAGCTCAAAAACACTATAATCATCAAAAGCTGCCTTAAACTGCACTTAAAATATCTAGCCAAACTTTTGAAAATTGTTTCTTCTTTTAACAACAAGAAAGTAAACAAGTAATCACAAAACCACGACATAAAAAAAAAGTCTTAATTTCTTAATCTTTATAATCACTGAGCTTCTTTCCATGGTCAATCATAATAAAAACGGAGGAAAACCAAAAAAGGAAAAGGCTTACCGTGCACATATATTTTCGGTTCATCATGCCTACTGAACACATTGACTGAAACTCTTCCACCACCCCCACCACCAAAACCATTACCTCCACATGCACTTAACCTGCCACTTCCAGTCCTGTTCTTCACAGAACAACAGATACTTCAACATTAAACTTTAAACGCCCTAAATATACCGAGGTAAGATAATGACATTTAATCCACAGTTAAAAATCTAAGAGAAAGAGAGGAGGTGATTAGCTACACGTAAAGAAATCTATTTTCAGAACTGCCGCCATTGAAGCAAAAGAATAGGTCTGTACTATGCATACATAAGATAGGGTTCATCAATAATAAATGGAGGCTTAAACAATTTAAATCACCAAGCAGCCAGATGTTTCACTAACCCAGGTATCAACTTACATGAAACAAGTACATAACAAAAATGCTAAATACTAATGGAGAGAGTTCAAGCTCTCCACATTGACATAATTGAAGGTGCATTTCCAAATCTGAAAGTAGTCATATCCACCGTTATTATATGTTTGCAATCAACAGCATGCTGTAAATTCAGTGAAGCAAAAGCATTGTTAAAAGGCAAATAAAAGAGGACCCAAGGTGTGCTTAATCAATATCCATCACTCTGGCTCGTATGAATGATAGGATAAAGAATACAGCCCCTATGAAGTTTCATCAGAGAAGTCCATTCCATCATCACAATGGGCTAACCAACCTAGTTGGACTTTCATCACTAAGTAGCTATTATATCATCGTCTAAAACACAAAGAAATTTGATGCTTTCAATAAGAAATTAACAATAGTTTACACTTCAAACCTTAGCCAAAACCACATAGAAGCCGCTTAAGTATCAAATTTCCTCTACCTGGTACTCATTTATTATCTTTATTCCCTACATTTCTCATTTCTGTCTTTCACTTGACAAACAAAGAAAATGAGATAACCACCAACTTTGGGAACTAAATAAGTCAAACAAACACAAAAGGAAAGCGATAAAATAAACAAGAGAGAAACATTACATTTTACGAGATTTAATATAGATGCTACCACCTGATCCACCGCCTCCCTTAGTCCCTCCATCACCCCCATCAGCCAACACGCTGCCATTCACCTCCAACAGCTCTTTTATCTCTATTCTTAACGAGCCACCACCTCCGCCTCCGTAATCCACCTCCTTACTCGTTGTCCCTCCTTTACTTCCATAACTGGATGGCTCCTGCAATGATGACCACGAATAAGCATCTCCACCCCATACATCATCCGGTCGCTTCCCATCGTCTACCAAGCAACACGCGCCGCGTCCTCCATGACCTCCCCCCGCTCCATCCACTCCCTGAGGTGTCCCACTCGTCTGTGGCGGTGGGTCCCCCGCCCATCCCGTAGTGTTCACGGCCGAGCCATTGAAAAAACTAGCGTTATAAGCCGCGAGCTGGAAAGTACCAGTTGCTACAGTGGAATTTTCGCCCAAGGAAAAGTTTCCACTGATGTTTACGGTTATTGAACAGCCCAAAATGGGGCAATGGAATCTAACTCCAGGGAGGATGTAGAAATTACCTTTTCCCACTATATACACGTCACGAGTAAGGTTCAAATCGGCCACAATCTGGCATGTCGAATCCAGAGAACCTACCCCTCCGAGATCATCAGTGCAAGAGACCGACGGCGCGTGAGGAGGAGGAGGAGGCGGTGCCGGAGGAGAGTAGTCATGATAGAACACGAGACCATCGGAACCCGAATCGATTATCGAAAAATCCGATTCAAGAGACGAAGGAGAAGCAGAGACGAAGACGGTGCAGAAGAGGAAGACAAAGAGAGGGAGAAAGCGAGAGTGAAATCGAGCCATTTACTGCTGGTGCGAGTCATTAGAATGGAGGGTTATGATTATGCTTTAGAGTAAATTTCTCGATTTGGATACACAACAAATCAATAACCGTCGAAACCACCATGAAAAACGAATCACAAAATTAATTTCTACATAAATCTCGATTGAATCCAAAACTGAAGGAAATTTAGAAAGAGAAGAATGAAAACCCTATGAATTATGATTTCTCTCTGACGATCTGCAACAACAGAAGATGGTTCGTAGAGAGAGAAAGTGTGCTTCTCACAGGGAGAGGAAGTAAAAAATTATAAAGGCAAAGGAGAGCGCGCTTTATTACGAGCTGAAGGAGACAAAGGGAAAGCTAAGAAACGTTACGGCTTAGGTGAGCTTGGTTCTTTTCCAAATCTTGGAAGGGTTAATTGCACCAACCCCATCTCTGAAGTTTTAAATTAGACCCTAAACTTCCAAAAAGTTTCAATTAAATATTCGAAGTAGCTATTAGAGAGACCTACTAACTTCTTCAAAAAAATGTCTTTAAATGTCATTCACCCAATAGTTAATCAAAATTCTAATAATTAATATTATATTCTCAGTGTGTTTATTTGTAGTTTTAGTCTTAAAAATCTATCTATTGATCATTAAGAGAATATCAAAAGCTCCTTAAATGACTCAATTTATTTAAAAAACGATATTCAAAATCCAATTATGATGACATGAATATGATGTGAAATATATTTAAAACACAAAAAATAAACAAATTGATTAAAAAAGAGGGTTCAAAGGTTAGTAATGTTGTCCTTTGAACATATTTAAGAATCCATTTAAATTTTAAATCATGGCTTAAGGATATTTAATGCAATTTAATCAGTTTTAAACTGTCAGTATATCATAAGATGTGGACGGGTGCAATCATGTTTGGCTAAGATGGGATGCTGTAGATTTTCCCCTAATGGACTTCAAAACTTTTTATTAAAGACCGTTTAACGTGCTCCTGACATATGGCAAAGGAAATGACGGCGTAAAACTTATTTACTCGAGGATTATTAATTACTTAATTAAATACAAAATCTTAGTAGGAGTGATGTTTACGCGCGAGTAGGTGGGAAGGAGGAAATAGGATTTTGAAGGCAAAGACGCATCATGCAAAAAGCGAAGCATCAGGATTTGATTTACTCGCATGGTATCTGAGCATTGTGTGTGATTAGACCAGCACAGGGGGGCGATTATTGTAATTTTATTATTATTATTTTATTTTGCAAAATGGGAAAGACACGTGTAGCAATTCAAGTCTGGTGAAAACATCACGGTATCAAAGAGGAGAAAAATTTTCGATCATCCAATACGTGTCTTGGATTTTTTTTAAAATTTTAATATTAGATTTTAAATTTAACACAGACTCCCGAGATTATTGACTAAATATGATCTGGTTATATATATATATATATATATATATATAATTTAGCATAATGAAAATACTATGATGAAATAATATAATTTGATTTGTGAATTTGAATTTCATGATATTGATAATGTAGATAGATTTTTATTTATTTTTAATATATTTATATTACTTACAAATGAGAGTTATAATTTGAGGATATATTTGACGTATTTAAAAATGTGAAAATCAATTCAAAACGAGAGTTATAATTAGCTAATAAAATCAGTATGTTTTAAAAAAATTAGACTAATTTAAAACGATCATCGTTGTTTAAAAATATGTGGTTTAATTAACTCAAATAATTTTAAAATTGGATTAAACAAGGTCAGCCTATTACCAGCGGACGCGTGAGCATATATGAATCCAAATGAGGTTAAAAATATCAAACGCATTGTCCAATAATTTACTTACATAAAACCAAGTATTCCACAACGTGGATTTGGATGGTTTAATGATATGAAAAGCTTCATCTTCAGACAGTTTAAACCACACAGATTGCAGAGGACAAGAAGTTTCGTCAGTTTATGGAGTTTATTAGTTCTTCTCATAATAGTTTCGGTAATTGATGTATTAATTTAGCTATCACTTTCATCTCTTTATTTTATGAGAAGGAATTAATTGTTTCACTTTAAATTATTGATTTTTTACGAATTTATTACATGTATATTATTGAATCAGTTTAATAATAAATCTCAATTTTAATAAGATACGAGGAATAAGTTACGTTAATTTAAAGTAGATAAATTATTTTTTCAGTTTTTGTTAAAAAAATGCAACTTCATGTTTAAAAAGTACAATAAAAAATTATTTAACAATCAGTTATAAATTTGTATAAATTTTCATTAATAATCAGTTCGATCTCTGTTCATTTGTGATTTTTAAATTTTTAATAAAAATGATTTTTTATATATTTTTCAATTAAATTGGTGCACCGATTAACTTGTTACATTAACTAAGTCGGTCCATTAATATATATATATATATATGAATGCTCAATATTAAATATGCCAGTGGTTAAATTGACCCAAATCTTCAAGTTCGCTTACAAAAGGAGATGTAAACGTGAGATGAACATTTGCAGGGGAAACTTAGCAGTTTCATATATACAAAATGCATTTTTCAAGGTAATTTACCAAGCTGCCCAAAAGAAGCAACAACGTCGATTTTCTTTTTGCCTTTTCCAGCTTCTTCAAGAGTGATTCATTCCCCCAGCAAATCATCTGTCATAGCATCGAGAGAATGGAAGCCATATTCTCGGGGTCGAAACACCCCAAAAACAGACAGCATTGGAGTTATCTTGCACTGCAATTGAAGCTATAAATCCAAATAATGGCTTAAATTTATGCAGGTTTCTTTTTCCCTCAGCTTTGTCATTGCTTTTATCTCTATCCTTCTTATCCACTCTTTGCTCACATGAAAAAGCCTTCCAATCTCCTCGAGTGACTTCGGGGGAGAGCCCTTGAGCCCGTAACGTAGAACCATCACTTGCCTCTCTCTTTTCTCCAGACCATTCAAAAGATCATGAAGATCTTCCTTCATGTGCTGCCTCATCACAGTTTTTTCTGGGTTCCGTATTGACATATCTGGGATAAATTCCTGCATCATCATATACCCACACGTTTTGTCAATCGAAGCATCTTCATCGATGCCCTATCAACCTTGCACGAAAGAACAAGAATGCAAATGCAGATACCAGGAAGAGATATAACGGAAGGTACTCCAAACCGATCATCCAACGATTTGAGAGAAATTGGGGGGGGGGAGGAAAAGGAAAAAGATGTTATTGCCTCCCATCATTCAATTCATACAATTCATAGAATGTATGAATGCATATTAGATTCAATGATATTGAAATAAACTTTCATAGGAACACTATTCTTGCCATTACCAACGAGACAGGTTTAAGAGTTGAGATCTGACCTAAGTAATCGAAAAAAAGGACTCGAGGGATATCAACAACATGAACTCTTTATCCATATAAAACTGAATGAACTTCAATGTCTTGCTCTTAGAATGCAGGAGAGGAAAATATGACAATGAACAGAGAAATAATGACATACCAAATATTTTGCATTGATAGAATCTCCGATTTTCTGGTCAATCGAACCAACAACTCTAAAGCATTTATCAGCCGACCTGATTTTAGACAAAGAAAGACCCGTCATCTTGGCTATTTCATCCTCTTCTGGGTATTTCCCGTGGCTTTTGCTAAGTGCTTTCCGAGCTTTCTGTATCTGTCCTATTGCCCTGCTTAACGTGCACTAGAAAGAAAGAAAGAAAGAATAACAGGAAAATAACAGATTAGTAAAGATTCAGCTTTCATTACCATGATATCTGCATGAAGAAATAATATACTAAAGACGAGAAAGCTACATACGGGAACTTGGATCCCTCTAGCATGCCGTGCCACCATCCTCGAAATTGATTTCCTTATCCAGTACTGTATATAGGTAGCAAATTTGTATCCCGTTGTGTAGTCAAACCTTTCTGCACCTTGTAGGACTCCTATACTTCCCGCCTGTCAAAGGCAACAAAACGAACTTGAACGATTGGTCAGGTAGAGAACAAACTAAAGAAAGATATCCGGCTAATCATGGAATGATTTATTGCACTGATCGAACTTTATGATCTGCACAAGAATTTGAAAAAGAAAAGAAAATATTTGATTACGTTCACTGGCCTGCAATATTAAGGGTTTACATGATATCCATAAACTAGACAGGTGCAAGGGAGAACATGCCAGTAAAAATATTTTTTCCCCAGTGTTTTCGCCTAGTTACGATTTACCCAGAGCACTGTCCCAACACAACTACACTAACAAAAATCAACCCACCTTTTCCAACATAATAATATTTTCCATAAAAGTTCATCCTAATTTATTGAAGTTGTTGATTAGATTCCAAAACATTAGAATTGATAACATAAACGAAGAAGTTAGGCAACCACATCATTGTTTAGGAAAGATCTACTACGAAAATTACATACATATATATAAATACACACACACACGTGACATGATTGGAAATAACTAAAGCAAGTGTAGTATGTAAACAGCCAAACAAATTGAGTAAGTCAGACCGACCTGGATTAAATCTTCATGGGCTATTCCCAGACCCCTATAGTTCCTTGCAAAGTAGAGGACTAAGGAGCGTGTACTCCTTAGTAGCTCGTCCCTGCAGTACCAACCATAATGCAAATTATGTAGCAGCACCTTCTCTGTAAGTGTGGCCGCTTCAGCCCAGCAACTCAAGCTCACAGCTCTCCCAGTTTCCTCTTCCATAGTTGTTTTAATCCTCTCCAAGTTTGCAACCACCTGCTTGGGAAAGCATAGACCGGTCAAAGGTTGCCTTAAAATACCTGTGACTAGGGCTATAAATGAGACGATACAGATCGCGAGCTACTCGAGATCGACTCGATCAAGGCTCGATAAATACTCGGATCGAATGGACTCGACTCGAGTTCTTAACGAGCCGAAATGAGCTACTTGATATTCGACTCGAAAAGCTTGTGAGCAACTCGAAAATATAATATATTAAGATTTTATTTTTTAAAAAACTAAATATTTATGTATTTTTTTTAAATACAATAAGATTTTCATGTATTTAAGGATCAGGTTAAGTTTGAGGCTTCAATCGAGTTAAGTTTAAGATTTTTTTTTTCATTTAGAGCTTTTTCGAGTTGTTCACGAGCTTCAGTTCAGGATTTCGAGTTTGAGTCGAGCTTGAAAATTTTAAGCTCGCGAGTTTTCGAGTCGAGTCGTGTCGAGCTGAGCAATACTCGAGCTCGACTCGGCTCGTTTACACCCCTACCTGTGACAAAAGAATATGCATTCCATAAACCAACTTTCAAAACAACCTTAACTCCCTTTGACATTTCTACTTCATTTCTAGCAATTGTCGATAATTTCTTCCTAGTGTCTGACATTCTTTTCCGAGAAGACACTTTGGGCTTCTGAAAGTGTCGGCGTAGGGTGTTGGAAGACAGTGCTTGTGTAAAAATTGTAGTGGTTTCAGCTGCTTTTTCTCTTCTCTTTTTGTGTTGTTTATTTTTTCTAGAACAAACAATTCTTTTATCCTTTTCACTATCCACCAAGCCATTCATATCACACACTCCCCTAACAGCAGCAACATCAGATAGGTCGAACATGTTCAGAGGTCTATGAGTCCTAGACAGACAGGTATTGAATAAATTTAGAGCTCCAAGCCTTCCTAATTGAAGTAGAATTTCCTTCTCCAATCTCAACATATCTGAATCAACAAGCATCTCCTCTAAAATGTTGAGATTTTCCATCAGCACACCATAATGTAATGTATTGCATATTTGCGGGTCCGTGCAGAAGGAAGATTTGTTCCCTCCTATTGACTCATTAGATTTACCGATCATAACATGTGAACAACTCTGTGACCGTGATCCCTTGTCAATCTTTACCTGGAAAAGAATAAAAAAATCAGAATAATACATGATATTTGATTGTGCATTATTATGAAAACAACAATAAAGTGTATTGTAATTTATTAGATATAATTTGATATTCAACCACACACCTTCTCTTCAACTTCTAAGCAACCATTTTCTATTGTTTGCAGAGCTACGGATGAAGAGTATGCTTTCAGAGGATCTTTCGATAAAATCACACCTTCATCAGATGTTACAGAGGGGAAAGACACCCTAGCTGAGTTAAAAGAAGCTTCCGTCCCTCTTACTGTGTTAAAGCAAAATCAATGGAATTGAATAAAAACCAAGGAAAGAAATAGAAAATTTGACAACAACCCAAAGAGAAGCACTTGGTATAGTATAACTTAGATAAGACTAGTGATGAAAACTGAAATTCAAATGCATGGACTCCATAGTAAAAGCTACGACCTTAAATGGCTTATAGTTTAATAGAGAAGTAACCAACTTCTAATTTGAAGTTGATTTTAGGTTTAACATATGCTGTCAGTCCCCATACTTGAATGAAGTTTGAGATCTAGTACATGTACTTAAAAGCTACAAATTAAGGCCTTTTAATTTTGGATATAAAGATACTAATCCAATTGTTAACACCATTATAAACTCAGAAAGCATAAGTAGTAAGCATATCTGATGGTAAGGAAATCGAAAAAGAGATTTCACTTATAATTTTGGCAATAAAACCTCGATCTTAGCTTCAATTAACACTAAAAAATGCTGCAATACAAATTCAACTTGTTAGTCAACTAACACTTATACGATCACCTCAATCTAACCAAAGGAGAAATTCTAAAAGCTTATTAACTTCTTTTTAAAGTAGAGCAAAAAAGATGAGTGGAGTTGAAACCCATTGAACTCACCAGAAGAAGAAGGGAGCTTAGAAGGTGAATTGGCGAGGAAATGAGAGGGAACTGGGAAAACACCTTTGAGATTCAGCCTCAAACCCATTGATTCCTAGATTGCAAAGCCAAAGTGTCCATCAAATCTTCATGAAGTTGGAATAGTTTATAAAGGTCAATGTCCAAAATATAAATGTGTTCAAATTTTCTATCATTTGTGTTGTTTCACCTGAACCACGGGTTCTTCATCTCCAAAAACTTGCGTCAATGACAGCTTCAGCCTTTTTTCGTCTGTGACAAAAGTTACCCAAAGCACATTTAGCTGGATTTGGGTCTGTTTTAGGCAAGCTCCTACGTCTGGGCTTATCTTCCACAAATGGGCTTTGTTTATTCTTGATAACTTACGATTGAAACCATTACTTGATGCCGAAGTCAAATTCGAAAAATGAATTGCATATTTTGTTCCTTGAAAATTTGATATCATACACTTCTTCTGTTTCCTCTTCCTCCGCTAGGGTTTCCGTTCCTTCTTTCTTTGCTTCTTCACGGTTGTCGTTGGTCAAAGCCTATTCGTAGAACTATCAAGATTAATATTGATGGAGCGTATCTTCGAAAAAATGCTTCCATTTTCTTATTTTATTTTCGAATCCATTTCTTGTTCCATTTATCTGTTTTCTATATCGTTCTTCACCGATATATGATTTTTCATATCACTTTTTAGATGGATATGCCTTTACATCTTATGCCATCAAGTTACCTAATATTTTCTTTATATTTCTTATTGATAATTTATGTTCGTACCCTAAAATTCTGTGTCCATCCCTGGGTGGTTTGATTGTGAAACGTTCAGTTCGGCCGGTTGGTATGGTTTTCTCGCTTGCCATTGCACCACAAGCTTGGTCGACCGCTACATATCTAATCTTACTTACCTTATTTTCCATGTTTTAATTTTGTCTTAAATCATGAAGTCTAATGGGATTTATTGGGTGAAATTAAACTATAGCGTTGAGGCCACCACAAAGATATTTCAAGAAAAAGCATATAATATGATTTAATATTTGAAGACATGTGGTCAGTATTTTAAGTTTTAAGGTTTAGGGATTAGAATTTTAAATTCAAGATATAAAATTTCTATATGGAATCATCATAAGGTTTAGCGTTGAGGCCACCACAAAGATTTTTCTCAAAACTTAAGAGACTAAGGCCTCTCAGACTCATCATCACGAGTCATTAAAAACACATAAAATAAATTTAGATAGAATAATTTCGAGCATGAATGACATTGAAGTTAGATACAAATATGAATATAACTGACACATAATTTTGAGCATGACCTAATAATTTTGTATTATTGATTAGTATAGTAAGTCTTAACATTGACAGGGTACATTCTTTTTCCTCCACTTAGGTTTATGAAGGTTTTTTTTAATGAGGTATGTATTCTTTGTTTCGTGTTTTGTATGGGCTTTTAGGAACCATACGAAACCTCTATTAAAAAAACATGCAAATGATTATTATTATTATTATTATTATTAATTTCAACTATGTATATATTGAATAAATTTGACAAAATTATTGAGGCTATTAATTTTCAAGTAACTATATTTGTTGTTTTTTTTCCAAGACAAATATGAATGGAATTTCAAGGTGGGGCAAATGGGAGTTTCCTTGATAATAACTCTAAAAGAAGGTTCATTTTCATGCCAAGCTTTACAGAGAAGTTATATAATAGAGTACTCGGCCGATGGCATAAAATTTAAGGGTATCCAATGCAAGTTTTTGGATTTTATCAACAATATATGTGCTTATCTAATCAAGTAGTTGATTGATGGCATAATTTCCTTTATAATATATGATCAAAATATCCACCAATTTTATATAAATACGGAGGTCGACCGACTAGTTTAGGTCTCCTCGGGCAAGAAACTAGGATGTCGCTTGTTTTGGAGGAAGAGACAGACCGCCGTACAATCATCCACTTTTGAAGACGGAAACTTCCTCTTCCACGAGGCTGTGGCTGCCTCCACCACTGTCCTTGCCGCTTCATGTTCACTTTTTGCCTCCATCACTATGGATGCAACTTGGTCGTTGTTTAGCACATCCCATACCTAACAATGCCCAAAAGAAAGAAAGAAAAATTAACGAACGTTTTAACTTCATTTTCGTATATTTATTATATTATAGAAGTTTAGCTCCACCAAATGACTTCACATTACAGCACACATTTAAAATTGGTCCCTAAACTTCAAAACATTTTAATTAAACCCTCAAATATTAAGATCGTATTAATCAAATCCATTAATCAACTAGCAGAGGTGTTTATCCCTCAAAATATTGAAAACATGTGTGTTCTTATCGCATGCATAACTTGAATCTAACATGTTAAACCCTCCCAAATTTTATTGGCACCGTTTTTTTCTCTCAACACGTTGCATTCAACTTGTCCATGCAGTACACAAAATTTGTTGATTGACATGTTATAACTATACTCCACGTCAAATTCAAATTGGTATTCAATGCCTAAATTGACTGTTAGGTTGACATAAGATCCTGATCTTAAATTAGAATATTTTCAAATTTAGAAACCAAATTAAAATTTGAGAGATAATCAGGGGATGTTTGGTGCAATTAACCTTGGTTATTATTAAATTTGAATGAAATGGGTAGGCTTAGAGTTACCCCATCTGATGCGAGGACAATGAAGTGATCATTTGGAGTCAAGTGGTGATAGGAGACGTCTGGGACTGTGATTATTCCATGGTTCTTGAGTCCAAAGTCACCAAAAGCTCGAGACATGGCTAAGCCTGGAGAATCCTGATGGGGCAGCCACACTCGCTGGATATGTGGTTCTTCCTTTAATGCAAGGACCCTACCCTTGCAATTCCTTATCCTCTCTGATTCACCTGCATCCATCAGCAAACCACTTTTATATATATCATACACCCCTAGGGTTCAGTTTTGGGCAGGTAATACATTGATTTGGACCGGATTTGAACGTTTTATTATTTAAATATCATTTATTTAAATAATTCTCTCTCAATATTGTTCACATAAATAATATTTATTTTTATTACGTAAAATAAAAATGTGTCATATCAATTTCATTCGAAAGACACGTTTGATAAGACATGCCTTTGTCATATGTGACAAATTTTATTTGAGTATCTGATTGAAGTGATTTTGTTAATTCACGTAACTTTTCTAGATTTACTTCATAAAGATATGTCTAATTAAGTGTGTTTTTCACATAAATTAGATCATTTGCTAATTGGAATGTGACGTAAGAAAAAGACAGGTTTTGTCAAACGCACAACTGACATGACATATTTTTATTCTATGTGACATAAATGAGTGTTATTTTTATAAATAATCTTAGGGAAATGATATTTTTATAAATAGTATTAAAAAATAGTATATATGAGTAAATTAGCAAGACTTGAATAAGAGTAAACAAAAATTCGAGATGAAAGTTCACTCGTTAGTTAAAATTAAGAATTTATTATCAGCAATTAATAAATATATTAAAATAAGATATTAAATTTATTAAATAATATTTAGAGCTCGAATCACGGGACTTACTCGGTAAATCCGGCTTCAGATCAATTGTTAATTGAACACCCTTGATCCCATTCTCAGTCATGGTTCCCAGCACAGCCCTTGAATCGCCAAGGTTTGCAATAACAAGATCTTCACCCTATTTTATGTCGGAAGAAAACAAAATCGACCAATGCTCATAATTTGCAATATCAACTCAAGAATCTCTAACAAAACAATTTTCTTAAAATTGTTACTTACCAGTCTAACAACAACAACGGCGGTTGTTCCACTGGTGGCGCAATCCATATTCTCTTGCAGCTTAATCTCTTTGTCCATCACCTTGAACGCACTGACGCAAGCCTCTTTCCATCTACGAAAATCCTTGCTCGGATCGGTTTCCCCGCCCTTTTCCGCCGTTGTCTTGAGCTTTGCTAGAGCAATCTTTTGGCTTAGCAATAGTGATGACAGTCGATTTCTCACCATGTTGCTCACAAAATGACCGTTCTTTCCATGACCATCGAAAACACCACAAAATGCTCCACCTTCAATCCCATAGTCCTTCAAGAACAACAAATTGTGATTTAATTGTGGTTTAAGTCCCTCTACTAAGAAGAATTCTGGGGTTTAATCACTTTAGTTTTGTATAATTTAGTCCCTTTACTTTTATAATGTTAATATGATCTACAAATTGATAATCCCTTCTGCTTGAATTTAGCATAATTCAATCATTTACTTATATAATGTTATGAATAGATGTAAATTGATAAAATAATTAGTTACTGCTACGAAAATGATTACGTAAATTTTATTTAAAATAACATCGAGTATTTGGTTAATATGTAATTTCTTTTATTAATTGAACATAGTTGATGAATTTTTTTATATGATCTTGACGAGATTATTAAAAAACAATAAACAAAAATCCAAATAATCATTTTCATGATAATAAATAATAATATTATCGATTTTAACTTAATTATCAATAACATTATGGAAGCATAGAAGTCAATATATATATATATATAACGAGAATAAAATTGTAAAATAGAAATACATGAATTTACGTGAAAAAATTAAAACGAAAAAACTTACTAGCAAAGGAGGAAGCTCACAGGATATAAAAGTTTTTGGAATCGAAATGAAATTTGGATCATATTTTTTTTTTCAGATACTAAGGTCATAATCAGGGATTCAAATAGCGGTTGTAGTCGCGTTTTCGGCTGCGTCACGTTTGTCGTAATTGCGGATATAGCGGACGCTATTACGAGGATTGCGGGTATCGCGATCATATAATAATGGTTTTGGAGGGCACCGCTACCGCTATATCGCGGGCACTATCGCGGTCACGGACCGCTATTTAAATCCCTGATCATAATTAGAGCCAAAAAGGAGAAAGGAGTAGTAACGGCAAACCTGATAAAGGATGGCAGCATCCTGGTTGAGTCCTTTGGATCCTTGTTTAGAGTAAAGAGAGCCAAGTCTTTGAACTCCAAAAGAACCAATGTTTTCAGGCGAGTAGAGAACATTTTCATGGCAATTATGTTCTTCAGCTTCATCATGAATCTCCGAAGATGCAATGGATATGCAGATTCCCATCTCCAAAGACTCTGTGGAACTGTCTCCTCAATGGTGTTTTCAAAGTTCTAATAATTACTAATATATAGCAGTGTAAGTGGCTCTCAGTTGAGCTGAAACCACACTCCAATTCATTAATTATTGGAATAAATTGTTAAGCATATTATTTAATTATTGTTATTATAATAAGCTACCCCAAGGTTCACTTAAAGAGGTGGATTCTTGTTAAAATTACTATATTAACCGATCAATTAATACCTATAGCTTAAGAAAGCATAGGAATTGGTGTAATTTTGGTTTTAATCCCTCCATTATGCTAAAATTTCATATGTAGTATTTTTACTTAATTTGACATAATTTGATCCTTTACCAATGTTACTATCAAAAATTTTTACTTAATTTCATATGTAGTCTTTTTACTTAATTTCATATGTAGTCTTTTTACTTAATTTGACATAATTTGTTAATATCAAATAATTTATATTCAAAATTAATAGGGATCTAATAAGTATTTAATTCAAAATATGAGGTAGAAAAAATAATTTAAAAAGTATTTAAATTAACAAAAATTAAAATTATCTTTAGAAAGAAATTTGGGAGCAACACAAACTCCTCTTGAGCTTACGTGGCTCCATCTTTATTTACAAATCACCAGTTGAATGAGATTACTAATGAGATTCGAATCTTTGTGTTTGTTAAGATGTGATTGAGAATTCAAGCAACTGAATAAACTAATGTTCGTAGGACGTTATCACTTTTAACTTATTGATAATGATATAAAAGTGGAAAAATTATAAGAAAATGATAGAAAACTTAAATCACAAATTTGAACAATATAAAGGGATTAAAACCATAATTAGACCTATATAATGTATATGTGCATTAACAACCATTTATGGTCCATTTTTCATGACATATATATATATATATATATATATATATAAACATATATATTCTTATTTTTATTTTGATTGATACCTATATTATAGTCTATATGCAACTATGCTTGTTGAGAGTCATTTCCTTGAAATAATTAAAAGGGTTTGGGGTGGTTGACAACTTGACATTTGACAAAGTAATAGCGTATATATACTTTATAAAAAGGAGGACCGGATCCGATCTAAGGCGAAGGAAATTGGTTAGCGTTAACAATTATCAAAAGGTGCATCAAATAATGTTGGTCAACTCTCTTAGTTAATGGCTGTGTGTGTTACTTATTTTGCGAGCAGAAGCCAAGAATGAATCTGCTTACTTGTCATTAGGCGTGTTTTAGGTAACGATATTCTATTGTTAAAAGCTTTTTTTCTTGAGTTAATTGTTCCATATATACATAAATTATAATTCTTATTTTAAATTAATATTAATTTTTTTAAATATTTTAATTTCATCTCCAATTTATTCTCATTTTAAATTGATCTTAAACTTTTGAATATTTTAAATTTATCTCCAAACTATAATCATCACTAACGTTTCAGGTTCTGCGTATGTCATCTAGAACAGATGCACTGCTCTCTTTATACCTATGCGATAAGGTTGAATCAATGACAAGGTAGGTTCGTTCGTTAACAAACGATGCAACGGTGTCGTTCGGGAAGAGGAAGGAAACGGTGCGTATCCGACACGTTTTTTAGTTTCTCTTTTTTCTCTCGTGTTCGTCGTATTATTCCTCTCGTGTTCTTTTGCTTCTTTGCTTGTTTGGCTGCCAAAGCGAGAAGATCAGGCGAAAATGGCGTGTACTCATGACCACAGCTGCGAAGATGACGATTGTTCTTCTAATTGGTCTCTTTACAAGCACATTGACCTCTCTAAGGTTCATCCTCTCTCTCTTTATTTTATTTTATTTTTTGCTGGAACATTTTGAAATTTCTGCTGATTCATTACTGATTTCTGTTGTCCCTAATTGATTTTTTTTTAATTGCCATATTTAATTATTTTTTTCTTGGAAATTTTGTTTCGCTTAGGTTACTGCTTTGAATGAGGCTAATCCAGGAAGTGTCAAATCGGTGTTTAAAGCTTGGGAGGAGCGATTAAATTCTACCGGGGTATTGTTTAATTTAATTTACTTATGTATATATGTTATTTCGTGCATCTGTCCCTTTTCTTTGTATGAAGCAAAGGAATAAAAATGCTTGTATTTAAATTTCTTTCTTTCATTGGTATGTGATGGCCTAATAGGGATAATGAACTGTGACAGGAACACTTGGAAAGCAATGAAGGTGATCCTGAGCTACTTGTTTACATACCGTGAGTGATTCCTTTTAGTTCTTTTAGTGCCTTCTATTTGTATTAATTTACAGTTTACTTTGAAGCTCATATCTTACTTCCATGACTAACCATCGTCTACATCTGTGGTTTTAAAGTAAGAAGTGTCCATCTTGAACATTAGAGACATGAATCTGTAATTTGTGTTTTATTGCTAATTATTGTATTATATTAATCCTCATGCCTCACCTCTCTGGCATTCACTGTTTGCTCATTTATATTTGAAATTTATATTGAGACTCAAGTGATCTAGTGCATTGGTTCATTCACAAAATTGTTGAATGAATCTCGATAATTGCTCTTTTTCTTGGGTTGGAGCTTATTACGTTCTAGAAGTTATTGTCGTTTCTCACATAATATTTGATTTATTCTGATAGATTTACATCAGATGTTAAGATCAAGAGTATATCAATTGTTGGTGGTGCAGATGGAACAAAGTCCTTCCAAGTTGAGAGTGTATGTTCCTACGACTACCCAAGTATTTTGTTACTTCTTAAATGGTTAATTTTTGGCTAGCCCTTAGCAATGAATATTGATATTTCAAAATTGATTGAATGCTTTTCTCTTTTAACTGCTTTACCATTCCATTGAAGAGGTCTTGATTTCGGCACCTGATACTTCTAAAGGACATAAGATTTTAGTTGTTTGAAAGGGATGTCGCTTCCCCTACTACTTAATCCCTATGGCTTTATTCTAGCAATATTTATGATTTTTTTCCAATTTTGATTAGATTTATAAATCGAGAAGGCATTGATTTCTCCGATACCCAAAGCATGCAACCTGTACAGGTATTGCTCATATCCCCGTGCCATGGAATATTCTGTTAAATTTAACAAAGTTTACCTTAATCGATAACATTTTTCTTGAAGGAATGGGATTTGGTTGAAAATCTGCACGGAGTGTTAGAATACCAGACAAGGTAGGTACTTACACACTGTTATAATCCATTTTTTAGCAGTTAACTTGCTCACTTATTGTGCATGAAGACCGGTCCATTTGGCACTGACAATGTTAAGTTGTTGCTAATTCAGACTTAAATGAAAATAGCAGGGGTCCATTTTCATTCTCTCTGTTTTCCAGTTTCTAATGTCTTATTAACATGCATATTTAGGTACTCAAAATTTCAGAGCGTGCAAATATCACATTGCATTTCCCCGAGAGTTTTGGTTGTGACATAACCCAAATTCACTACATTGGTTTTAAAGGTGAAGCCACACAGGTACCTTAATTCCCTCGACAGCTCTGAGTAATCGATTACATTGATTCTTCCTGCTTGTCCCCATGCTGATTTATTTATCGGATACGATTGACAGTTGAAAAGAGATGTTGCTGCAACGATTGTTTATGAAATCACACCCAATCCTTCCGATCACAAGTAAGTTTTTGCTTTGCTAAATTGCATCATGTATTTGGATTGATGTCGACATGAGTGTTTGAATTATTCTGGTAATTGTAGACATGTCTGTCTAGATGTTTTAAACATCACTCATGCCTTGATTGGTAGGAAACATATTGATAGCCGACATAGATGTGTATAAGACTATCCATGTTCATGATATTCATAGTAAATCAGCTTGGTTTTATAACAGAAATGTTCTATTTATGAGAATCGATTATATTGGTGCAGGACCCGGGCTGAAACTTGTGGAGGACCGTCTCATGTGGAATAAAGAATTTGTAGTACATCTGGGCTGGGGTTGTTCTTGTCAAGAATCTGACCACTCCTTTTGAACATCAATGGGAAAAAATTGGACAATGTTATTTAGTCGATGGTGAACCCTCCTCCCCTTACCTGTTGGGTTATATGTTCCCAAAGATGGTATGATTCATAGTTCATTCATATAATGTGCGAAGGCTGAATAGTTTTTAAGCCGTTAACAACTGAAAAGTGTTGAATTTGCGCCAGTGGCATTGCATTTGCGCGATGAATCATTACAAATTTTAGGTGTCTTTGAGGGAATACTAATTCCTCCTACATTTCTTAGTGCAAATAGTTGCTGCACTAATTGGTAAAAAGGAAAAATCAAAATATTTGTTGAGATCATCAACTTTCTTCACGTCTTATTCGATTCAACGGGATTAATTATTGTTTAAAGAGGGTACTCGTATTTTACGCCTAAAAAAATTTCCTAAATAAATAATCAGGACACTATTTCAAATGTTTGAAGAATACAAGGACTAAGGATGAATTAGACTTTGATGACATCATCTATATTAGCGATAGGTATTAGATTTGGACATGATAGGGTTTGGCTCCATCTTATAAGATTAGTTTTTCTTTTTGGAAGTTTGAGTTAGAGTCTAGGTGGGATTGAGTTTTTTGGATGATAATGTTGGATTTAAGTTTAAGGTGGAATCTTTTTTAACATGAGATAATAATATAATTATTTTTTTTATATATTTGAAGATAATTATAATATTTTTTTCATTTTTAATTAGATTTTTATTTTATAAAATAAAAATAAAATATATATATATATATATTGAATTGAGTATGAATTTTTATCTTAAAAATCAAATTAAAATTTGTCTAAGTTTGATCAAATAACGAGTGAAGAATATAATCTTCAGATAAATTTAAATAAGCTAAAATCCTGAACCGATCTAACTATGCCATCCAAAATGGTAAATCATGTTAAAGAAAAGGTCTGTAACCCAAATAGCCCCAAGAATAAGAAAAAGCTCGGTCGAAGTCCAATTCCAAAACAAGTGGAGTATATATAATCTTCAATAGTTAGTGTATCACATAAAAGATCGTCTCACCCTCACCCTCACCCTCACCCTCACCCTCATTGCTTCTCCTCTTCCTCCAATACTTCTTTTGCGGAAAACCCAGTTCCTAATATTCTCTCGGATGTTCCTTTGAGTTAAGATTAGATTGATAGTAAGGTATTCCCATCTAAGGGGTTTATTTTTCGTTGTTTAATCCCTTTATTTTGCAAAGATTCCTTCAAAGTTTGTTTCTAAAGAGTGTTGTGATTTGTGAATGATGAGAAATTAATATTATCACAATTATCCCTGTCAGATTGCTGATGCTGATAATTTTTTTCTCTGACACAACATTCTTGTTAGTTTTCCTTTATATATTCCAATTTGCTTTCCTTTTAATCTGTTTTTTTTTTCGGATTTAATTCATCTTTTCCTGCATTAAGTTTTATTTTGTTTTTGTCAGGTCGCAGATTCAACTAATGGCGAAGAAGAAGAGGTCTTCTACAACGCCTTCCGAGATTCCAGAAAACAAACAAGAAGAACCTGTCCCAGAACAGAAGAAGAAGTCTCCGGCTCCTAAAAAGGCTGGTAATGAAATCGAGGAGATTTTTGCAGGTATGAAAAGGAAGAAACCCGATCCAAACGCCACGGAGAAACCAAACGGAGAAGAGAACTCGAAACCCAAACCGTCGAAGAAGAAAAGGAACACAAAGAGTAAAGAAAACAGAGATGAACGTTTCAGTGAATCTTCTTCTCGGCCCCGAAGGAAAACAGCCGATGGTTTTACAATCTACACTGAAGAAGAACTATGTATTGGTAAATCTGATGCTGGGAACACACCGCTTTGCCCATTTGATTGTGACTGTTGCTTTTGATAATGGTATTTTGTGTTAATTTTAGTTTATCGTTAAATCAAATTTTGCAAATTTCAGGATTTTCTCGGATATTGAAGGCTGATTGTTGTATTATAAGGCTTGATTTTTCTAATGGAATGCAATTTTGGTAATTTCTCTTATATATGAACTTTGATTCTTCTGTTAATTTTGAATGTTTACTAATTTGAAATTTTTTAGAACTAAATTAGATGTTAATCACTTTGTGTGGTTGCATTTCATTAAATTTGAAAGTCTTTACAGAATCAATTCGTTTGAAGGACTAAATTATTGAGGATTAGTGAAATTTTGATTAGAAATTGAAGGAACAAAGAATTATGTAACATTATATAATTAGGAGATGAAATGCATAAGATCAAAGTGGTCTTCAATTCTTTGTTTCACCTTCACTTCTTGCTCTTGGTGAAGCAGAAGCATGAGCACCATGGGAGGAAGCCAGAACTTCATGTTTCCTGTACTGATAGATTCAAATATTTGAAGAAACGTGATTATATTACACAAAATAAGCCTATATAGAAAAAGGTTAATGACAAGACAAGATTTAGCTGCTTCAAATTTGTAGGAAACCATTGTGAAATGAAGGATCCCTCCAATCGTGAAAGTAGCTGTGCTTGCTTTAGGCACAATGCAAAAGGTGGATTGCTATTGCAAAACAACGAACACCCGTGTCTGACTGTATGCCTCTTGTAACACTACCATCATCAGATCTTCATCCGTATGGTTTAATATCGGCTCCGAGCGGCAGTTAGGTGGCCATGATCGGCACCTGCTGATGACTCTGATAATGGAGCCAACATGCAAATCAGTCTTTTACCGTTCTCAAACACTGAAACACGGCATAATTGCATCGTAAATCAACTTAGAAAAATGGGTTTCGGTTTTCATAATGAAGAAAATGAAGGAGAAGGATCTACAGTGCCTAAAACCATTCACGCAGAGGACACCAAATAATAAGATTATGAAAGATAATAAAGCAAGTAGTATTTCACCTTGATGGAATATTATTTGTATGAGATGCAATCGTATGGATTGCTATTGCATTGTTAGGCTTGGAAATCTATGAAGATATATATGAAGATAACAATGTTGTAAATAACAAACCCAAAACACGAAAAAATAACCAAATGAATATAACAGATATATTTATATTTTTTTAATAAATCAATTTAGCTGCATTAAATTTGAAGGAACCCATTTAGAAATCAGAGGATCCCTCCAATCGTGTAAGTAGCTATGCTTTAGGCACAATGCAAAAGGTGGATTGCTATTACGAAGCAGCAAACACCCGTCTCTGCCGACTCTATGCCTCTTTCAACTCTAAAAAGCACCATCAAATCTTCGACATTGAAATAAAGACAATTAATTAACAAATATAAACGGGTTATTGTGTCATGAAACAACAGTGAATTGCATGGGTCTTCAACCGTTTGGCTTAATATTGGCTCCAAGCGGCAGTCAGATCGCCATTGATCGGCACCTGCTGTTGACTCTGATAATGGAGCCGATCTACACAACAGTCTTCTTACCATTTTCAAACACTGAAACACAGCCTAAGACGAGCTGCCACACCTACATGGTAGAATTGGAGAATGCCTTCGTCCTGAATTTCTTCCATTTTCCAGGAAGCGTCTTCAAAGGCTAATCAAAGAAAGACCTACTTTTGCCAAGGAACGTCCATCCATCATATTATTTTCCAACTATCCTCGTGTTTCTCATTTCCAGTAGCTGTAAAGTGACGATCAGTTGATTTCGTTGAAAAAAAAATACATGTTTTTTTTTTTACACTTTCATCACCACCGATCCTAATTACGAGTGCTTAATGAATTATACAATTCTTGAATTGCTCGAATTCGATTGAGTTAATATTCAATTTGGATTGGTTCGATTCAAATTCAACTCAAGATCTTAATGAATTAAGTCGAATAAGTTTGAATTCGATTTCATGAATTTACAAATAATTCATTAATTATTTTTATAAATTTTTAGTAGTTACTTCAAAAAATTATTTTATTAAAATAATAGTTTTAATAATAATTATTAGTTTATTATTAGATAATAAAAAAATGTGATAAATTATTAATTAATAATTATTACTAATTTACTAATACAATAATTTAGTATTTTACTAGTTTGATGTACTTATTTCTTCTTTTTTTCTTTCTGAATTTAGACTTTAAAATTATTTCGTACACACTTTTGATAATTTTTTTAGTTAATTTATTTATTTATGTTTATAAACTTTATATAGTTTTAGTAGAGTTTATTTATAATTAAAAAAATAAAAATTCGGGTGAGCTTAACAAGAAACAGTCGAGCAACAAATTTTTTCACTGAGAACAAATCAAATTGAGCAATAATTTTTTTTAACGAGAGCACGAATCAAAAACTATCCAACTCATAATCAATTCACTTGATAAACCCCTTAGGGTGCGTTTGGTTCACGGAATATAAGATTACCAGTGGGAATAAAAGATTACCAGGGAATATGATTACTGGGAATGTTGTATTTTGTGTTTGGTTGGTTTAGCAGGAATGTAAGATTACCGTGTTTGGTTAAAGGAATAAAAGATTATTCGAATGTATATTTGACCAAATTATCCTTATTATATATTTGTATAATATTACAAATTATAAAATATTTATATATTTTCTTTAAAAAATTAAATTCATAATATTTATATAATTTTTTTTACAAAATTAAAAATATAAAAAAGGTTTAATGAAAGGGTAAATTTTTTTTAATCCTTGAACTTCATATAAAATTTTAATTATAGAATTTTTTTTGTAAATCTAAAATAATTTAAGGATAAATTTGTAATTTAACATTCGTAGAATTTTTATTATTCAATGATAGAAGAATGATATTTTTGAAAAAAAATAAAATTTAAGGACATTTTAGTCCAAAACGCCGGTAATGTTACAATACCTAAGGGAAGGGAGGTAATGACATTCCCGGTAATATACCCCAAAAAATCTACTATTGGTAATAAAACATTACCGGGAATGAGATTCCCAGCCAACCAAACATGGGAATGTGGGATTTCCATCCCATGAGAATCTCACAATCCTTGAACCAAACACCCCCTTAAATATCCTAACTCAATGCCGCCCTAGTAAAAGCCGTGGTCCTACTAAAAGCCGTGGTCCTACTCCCTTATATTAGGTTCTAAAACAGTTCATTGATTTTAAATACATTTATTTATCATTTAATGGATGATTAAATATTTTATTATTTATATGACTTATTTTGAACGTTAAGAATTAAATATTTTATTTATTTCAAATTAGTCTTGTTTTATTTATTTTTTATATATACTTTAAATTTAATTTTGAACTAATTTTTCTTTATATCGTCCTAAGTTATTTTGATACTAATTTATTAATTAAATAATTTTTGTTTTAATACTTACCTACCGAAGCCTAACATTTATGTTTTAAAATCTCAAACATACTGAAAATATCGAGCAGAAAGAGAGAAAGAATAAAGAGAGTGGAGGAATGATGAAGGAAGATGGTGAAAATAGGGAAAAAAGGATTAAATAAATGAATATTGAGAGTTAAAATTTTAAAATAAAATTAAAAATTCTAAAAAATATATTATTATGTTAGTTTTATTTTCATATATTACGCGCAGAAGAAAAAAGCACAGCCTTAATTCTCAAAGGAAAGCGTTTATATAAGTTCATAGACGCTCAGTTCCTGAACTTTGTAAATGAAAAATAACATTAATATTACGTTTAATCTTTGGGAACCAATGCAGTTTTCCTTTGATTTTCCAATTCTTCATTAACATTTTTCGCCACTTTCTTCTCAACTAACCCCATAGAAAAGCTCTCGCAAATTCACCTAAAACCCAGATTCCAACTTCTTTTTTTCCAACTTTACATTAGACTTCCAATCAGAAAACGATTATTCATATCAAAATCATGGAGGTAGCATCATTATCTGGAGTTCTTTCATACACCAAACTTCCTGGTTCCAGTCTCTGCAATTCGGATGTTAGATTTCCGAGGTGATTCTTTTGTTTTCTTTAAGCTTTTATTGAAAGATTCATGCTTTATGAGCTTTTAGATTCTAATAATTTGTCTAGATTGTTCTTAGTTTTTGTTTTTGTGATTCAAAGATGAAAAATTCTTGGGATTGTTGATTACTTTCTTTTGTTTTCCTTTTTCTTTTCAGCTCGGTTCCTCGAGGCAGACACGTTGTTTCTTTCGCACGACATTCCTCTAATGGGTCCAATGATGTTGATAAACCTTCATCTAAAGTCTTTGTGATCTCAAATTCTTGCTGGAATACCCAAAATCATGCCGTTCTCAAGGGACCATTTCTCAGTGACGATCTAATTCAGACGAGAAATATGAATTCGCAAGCAAATTGTGGTGTTGGTGTTTGCACGTTGGATGAAAACGTTGTGGCTCATCACGCGCATGCCAATGAGGAGAAAATTGGGGTTCTTCTTTTGAATCTTGGAGGGCCAGAGACTCTTCAAGATGTTCAGCCTTTTCTATATAATTTGTTTGCAGATCCTGTATGTTGGTTTGCTTGCTCTATTTTTGTGTATTTTATATGACCATTTGTGGGTTCCGACTTCCAAGTTTCAGTGGTATAGAGGTGCTGATATTGTTTCTATATGCAGGATATAATACGGCTGCCGAGACTGTTTAAGTTTCTTCAACGACCGTTGGCAAAGTTAATATCGGTTCTTCGGGCTCCCAAAAGTAAAGAAGGGTATGCTGCAATAGGCGGTGGCTCACCGTTGCGTAAAATAACCGATGAACAGGTAAAATCAAATCCCTTGATAGTAGAAATCGGTTGATTGCTTTGTTATGAGCTAGTGGTGTGTAGGTGAACAATTGTACTTTTGTATGGATAAACTGTGCTTTGTGGGAACTGGTTGGTGTATTTATAGCTTAAATAATTTGTCACAGGCGAATGCTGTTCGAATGGCTTTGGAGGCAAAGAATGTAAACGCCAATGTATATGTTGGAATGCGATATTGGTATCCGTTCACAGAGGAAGCAATCGAGCAGGTTGTCCTCTTGATAGCCAAACAAATTTGCACGAGTATTGAACTCTGTATGTGTGATATTATATCCAGAGAGTGAACTCTTGCTGTTTCGCTTTAAGTGATATCGAGGGTTATCATTAAGTTGATCAAATCCATACACGAGGGTATAGTTAGTAAGTAGAAAAGAAAGAAGTCTTCTATGCCTTTGAATAACTTTATACCCCATTTTATATCGGAATCCTCTTTACAATGTTGGACAGTCTCTCTTCAAATTGCATTCGGGATATATACCGATTAGTGAGAAGCATTTATTATGTGCAACAGATTAAGCAGGACAGGATAACAAAGCTTGTTGTGCTACCACTATATCCTCAGTTCTCCATTTCCACAACTGGGTCAAGCATCCGAGTTATCCAGGATATTTTCAGGTTGACATTGATCATTTGTATCATTTTTTTTCGCTTGACGTCATTCATCAGTGGCCCCCCTTGTAAATGGCTGAAATACAAGTTATGTTTTCAGGGAAGATGCATATTTATCGAGACTACCTGTTTCTGTTATCCTCTCTTGGTACCAACGACAAGGTTATGTCAACTCCATGGCCGACTTGATTAAGGAAGAGTTGGAGAAATTTGCCAAGCCTGAAGAGGTTTGTTCGCTTACCCTATAGTCTAGTATGTTAATCCTTTATGCACACAGACACGAATTAGAATTTGTGATGTAACATCGTGGCCCTTATTTGAGATTTGACTAAATCTCGACTATTCCTAATAGGTCATGATATTCTTTAGTGCCCATGGGGTGCCTGTTAGTTATGTCGAGAATGCTGGAGATCCCTACAAAGACCAAATGGAGGAATGTATCCACTTAATTATGCAGGAGCTGAAAGCTAGAGGAATTGCAAATGATCATATCCTTGCCTACCAGGTTGGTTTTAGAACCAAGTTTCTGCTTTCACTCGTAAACTAAGAACTGTTATTCCCAACTTCTTTCTGCTTTCCTTCCAGAGTCGAGTTGGGCCCGTGCAATGGCTAAAGCCCTACACTGACAAAGTTCTTGTTGAGCTCGGCCAGAGAGGTGTGAAGAGTCTTCTAGCTGTTCCCATAAGGTACACGGGGTTTTATCATGCATGCTTTCAAAATTTAGATTATGTAGTCAAAACTAATCCTACATCCATCTCAATTCCAGCTTTGTGAGCGAGCACATAGAGACTCTGGAAGAGATCGACATGGAATATAAACACTTAGCTCTCGAATCCGGCATCAAGAATTGGGGTCGTGTTCCTGCTCTAGGTTGCACCTCTTCCTTCATCACAGATCTGGCCGATGCCGTAGTTGAAGCTCTACCGTCCGCAAAAGCTTTGTCAGAATAAAAGGAAGACAGGGAAGAACCTGAATATGACCCCGTGCGATACCTTGTTAAACTGTTCTTTGGTTCGGTCTTGGCGTTCTTTCTTATACTAACACCGAGGGTGGTACATGCATTTAGGAAAATATCTTTTAAAGGGAAGAGATCATAAGAGGGTATGCAGACGCCAGAGTAAGTTGTTTTTATGCTTTGACGAAAAGAAAATACAAAGACTTGTTTGGTTTGGTATAACATAAAGGGATGATGACTGAACCTTGTCAAGAGTTGAAATAAAAGTGGCTATCAATTGCTTTTGTTTTTACACAATAAAGGCCTCTATATTCTTATTGCGTTGGTGGCGACATGAATTAGCTAAATGTCAATTTCATTAGTAAAAAATCATTTTTTTATGATTTAAATGATAATAATAAACATTTTTATAGGGTTGTGTTTTAATATAATCTTTAAATAAAAAATTGAAATCATTTATTTAAAGATCAAACATAATATTTATCACTTCAACTATAATTACAGTTTTACAAAACTTACAAAAAAATACATATATTTATGTTTCAATACTGTTGCCCACACGTCAAGTCCCCATTAGATTCATAATATAATTAGACTAAAAAAATTAGATGCCAAATTGAACCTTCAAGTACCTAATTAAATTTTAAAAAAATTACCAAACTATATATTTACTCTTTGAATATGCCTGGCAGAGGTAATCTTTGAAAAGGATGACTCATTTGGCTCCTGCTTGGCGTCAAATATGGTATAAAATACATCTAAAATAAAACTACTGCTCATAACAAGCATATTTAGTCCTTTGATTTTAAACCAAAAACAAGTACAAAGCAACACAAATAAGCCAATCCAACACCATTTGCATCATCTAATTATTTAACTAAAAACACTTAAACAACGCTATCATTGTCCTAAAACCACTGCAAAAACTAGCTTTGATTTAACTGAAATATAATAAACCATTTTGCATCAAGTAATAAATCCAAAAATATGAAGTTGCGTTCAACAAACTCACCTCCAACCCAAATCAACTTTGGGGCGATGCCTTTGCAGTTCCACCTTGTTCAGCAGTTTTAGACGCTGGAGCAGCTTCGTAAGTTACATGTGCGTTCCCACTTGCATTGTCATCAGCAGGATATGCTTGAGGCTGTGAGTAACTTCCACCGTAAGAGGTGTTATAAGGTGCTCCATAACCAGGCTGGCTGGCTGGTGCTGTTCCATAGGTTGGGGCTCCATATCCAGGCTGAACAGATGCAGCACCATAACTTGATGGTGGACCATAAGCAGAAGATGGTGCCTGTGAGGGGTATCCTGGCTGGCCATAACTTCCTGGGGTGCTAGGTGACTGCTGAGTCTGCCCATACACAGGGGGATTGGCTAAAGGTTTCTGTGTTTGTGGTGGTCCATATCCAGTTCCATAACCAGACTGAGCTGGTGGATGATTCCCATAGGCACTTTGGGAAGTTGGAGGCACCCCGTAACCAGATTGAGTACCTCCTTGTTGTCCCACTGCAGATGGCTGCGTAGATGTAGGTGCCTGACCTGAATCCCCTTGTGTAGGATTCGTTGCATTACTGTAGCTCGGTGCAGAACCATAACTTTGTTGGTTATCATATGGTGATGGCTGCCCATAACCTGATTGTGGAGCCCCATGGTATCCTCCGTAACTATCCTGAGAATAACCTTGTCCTGGTTGCATATAGCTAGAAGCTGGAGGATGACTGTAATTGTAACCACTGTTATTGGCTGGAGTTGTTGAATCACCGGGGGCTTGCTGCTGCTGTGAAGTAGGCTGTTGGTTATAGTAATCATAGCCACTTGCAGCAGAAGTTTGCTGGTTTAGTGTTACAGATGACTGGTCCCAGCCAGAGGCATATCCACCAGATGAAGGTTGGGAAGGATAGCCCCCATACGGAGGCTGTGACATGTTATACTGCGGTGATGGACCAGCATATGCCCCAGGCTGCATATAACCATAACCAGGTTGCTGCATTGGGGGAGCCCCTTGGCCCCAACTTGAGTGTGGTCGTGCTTGATAACCTTGCTGTGGATATCCTCCAGCCATTGATGGATTTCTCACACGGTTCTGTGCAAAAAAGCATTTCCTCAAATAAACACATACAACATAATAGAATATGCATCTATATACAACAGGCATATATACAAATATATAAATAGCAAGAATCAATATCAACATAAAACAACAAAAATAAGCAAGATATGGCCAGTTGATTTAATGGATTTGTACTACATCATAAACTATGAAGAGTATAATGCCCACATACCGTATGGTCGGAGGTATTATTGAGTTTACTCCAGCAGAAGCCCATCATTTCCCTATTTGAAGTTAATGGGTGCAAAAAGAAAAAAGAGAACCCGACAAATACTAATAGAAGCTTTTACACCATAACAAAAGGAACTATGAACCCCATTTCCATATACAGGCAAGAAACTCACAGTTAAAAGTTCACTATACGTCATCTATCCAATGAACCAACTGAGGCATTGTAACAAATAGAAGTATCAAGTAAGGAATAACAACCTAGAAAGATCAATAAGCATGCATTAACCCAATGATATCGCTTAAACAGATCCTAGAATTCTCTACACCAAAGCAAGGATAAAAGCACTATAAACAATATACTTGTATAATGATTATCTGCATTTAGACAAGATAATTGACTTGTTGTCACACAAGATTTATGTTAGGATGTCACAACATGAACAAGGACTTCCTCCTCTAATGATGATCAAACTTCAATATTTTTACCAAAACTTCCAGAAAACTAAAGGACAATAACTATCATTCTTACAAAGTAGATGACCTCCTCATCTTCCATTTGGTCATTTGACACCTACAACAATTTCTCAACCAGCTGTCATAACAACAAGGGACGCCACCAAAAAATGTCTGCAACTCTCAAGATTTTACAAGCGGAACAAAGGACAGAAAAGAAATATATGATAATATAAAATCCAATCCATATCTCAAAAAGACTGGATATTACAATGGAATTGCAGAAGCAACTCTAGGAGAATTATTCAACAAAATACTTGAAGAAACAGTATAATCTGTGTGTGCAAAATCATATTCTTCCTCAACGGGTATACAGATGTATAAGAAATTTTAAAAAATGATAAAACAAAAGGGGTAGTTTTAGAATATTGACCAGAAAATGATATAACGTTGTAATACAATAATATATATTTAGGAAATTTTAACACAGGACAGACTAGAAATTTAGTCCCTACTTAACCCATAAAAGAAAATTGGTTTTGCTTGCAATTAAAAATATAAGGAATAACTCTAAAAAATCGTAAACAAAATAAATCTCTTAACCTATGTTGAAAGACTCAATATAAGTGAAATTTCAATGATCCTATCATTATTAATGTTGTAAAGACTGGCCTAAAGATCACGATAAAATCAACATTCAAAGTCAAATTAAAAACAATAAAAATTGTTCGGAATAGAATTAAAAGAATCTACTGCAGTAGGCATACAAGTTAATGATACAAACAAGCACAAGTGGTTCATATAAAAGGGGCAAGCATAATTTACATCGAGGAAAATCTTTCCTCCCAACATCCATATCCAAACATACCTCACTTATGACCTCATCAACCAATTCTCTTGCATTTTTAATCTGTTCACTTGTCCCATCTATGTGCAATGTCCTTTCTGTCGATGTATCACCTGGGGGCAGGTGCAATGGTATCACCTGTACAAATTAAGATGTACATCAGTCACAAACCGTACTTTAAAAAGTGTAACTAAGAAAAGACTCAAATGAGCAATGTATAATGAACAAATTTATTAGAATACATAAAAGCCTGTTAAAAATTAGCTGATATAAAACAGTTATGCATCTAGTTCCTGATAACATCAAATATTAAATGGCACTAAGATTCAAACCTGAATGCGAGCTCCAGTTCTAGCTTGCATGCTTTTAATTGTTTCACCACCTTTACCAATCACCAGACCAACCTGGGATCATGCATGCATTAATATTATATTCAAACAAAAACAATGAAGTTGAGCAATAACATTACACTGGTATACCTTGTTACTCGGAATCTTCATTTCAAAATGTTCACTTCCAGCCTGTCCTGTCATTCGTCGAGAAACCATGCCAGTACCCCCTGCTTCAGCCTTGACCAAACATTAAAGGGTAAAAATCATATTGCTCATATTCTTCCATCAGCAATACATCAATTTCACGCAAATAATTTGAAAAAAAAAATCAGGATGAAGTACCTCGGCAAGAACATCATTTATCAACTGCTCCGCCTTAGCTATTTGTTCAGCAGTACCCACGAGCTCTACAGGCCTATTCATGGAATTAGGGTCTGCATCAGTATCTCTTTGGACCTGAATCTTTGCCCCAGATTGTAGTTGAAGATATTTGATGGTTTCTCCCGCTTTCCCAATTATAACACCAACCCTATTTTGAGGAATGTCAATCTTTTTGCTACTACCATGGTAGCTTCCATAAGAAACCGGTATGGCTGAAGGAGCAGAGTTTGATGGGGGTTTTATATCTGTATAACATCAAATTTAATTTCATGGTGCTATGAATAGACTTTCAAAAGCCATATCTAAACTACAAGGCTATAAGCAGCATACACAAACAACAGCAGTCAAAAGCTATTTTATAATACTGAAAGTTTGAACTCTAAACACAAAATCTTAGAAGAAACAATTTCCTCACAGATTAACAGGTGTTTCATATATCTATATAGTATCAACACCTTTAAATTTCATAACGCTATGCATCGACTTTCAAAAATCATATCCAAACTATAAGTATCGTACAATAAGCAGCAGTCAAAAGCTATTTAATATTAATAAAAGCGCCAAACTCCAAACACAAAATCCTAGGTGCAACAATCTCCTTGAATAATGGAACTTCCATTATTAAAAAAAGGCTATACCAGAAGGAGCGGAGCTAAATCCCTTCTCGTAATCAAAGCCACCGCCAGATTCGTTTTCGACACGAGGGCGCTTCAGGTCAGCGCCAGAAGAGGCAACGGAGGCAGTAAGGCGAGCGGCAATCTCCTGAGCTCGCTGCTTGGCCATCTCGATGCCGTCGAGCGGTGGCGGAACGCTGTTGTATGAAGTAGGAGCCGAATTCGGGGAGGAGAAACCTGTAGGCCTCCTACAGGAGGAATACGGCGGTGCTTCGTCATCGTATTTACGCTTGTTGCTGCCGGCATCGAGTCCTGAAGAGTACTGTGCTTCGTACGCCATTTTCTGTTTTGCGAGAGAGAAACCCTAGAGGAAGGAAAAGGCAGAATATTTGTTTAGTAAAACTATTATTTTATATTTTTATATATGACCTTGATTGATTGGCTGTGAGCTGGATTTTTTTTCTCTTTTAGGCCTGTATTTTTTTCCCGATTAACGAGGTAAAAATAGTAATTTTAATAAAATAGTTTAACGTAAATTATATTTATGGTTATTTAATTATCTGATAATTTTAATTAATTATTAATTTTTTAATTTTATCAATCAAATTATTTGATTATTTAAATAATATAAGTTAAGTCATAGTTTAGTGAATGAAAGTTAAAAAATTAGTATAATTATATATTTAGTCTTCATTACTTACTTATATATTATATCAATTTAATGAATTAAATTAAAATTAATACTAATTTACTAGAATATATAAATAATATAAACTAATATGTAGTTATAATTATATTTCATTTTAACGTGAATCAAACTAATTACAATTAAATATATAACGGTAAGATTGACACATTTCTCTTTTATTTGAGAGAATAATAATTAAATATATAACGGTAAGATTAAGAACTTTGCGCTCTTACCAACTGAACTTTTGTTATTTTCACCCTTGACTAAGCGGTAAGTGGTGGTGTGATAAGAATGCGAGACCAATTAATATAATTTATAAATATGAAGGTTAGTTTTATTAAATTATTTAAAATTACAATTTAATTGAAAGAACGTGTAAATATAAAAGATTAAAAGTCTAGAACAATGTCATGTCAATATTATCATCGTAAATTTAAATGGTTTGATTAACATAAAAAAATATTGATAATTTAATCGAATTTTTTAAATGATCAAAATAAAATCAATTTTATAATTTATCGACTAAATAAATTATTTAACTTTTAGAATTTTGAGTTGAATATTACTAATTTCTTGGAGGTTGTTCTTAAAAGACTATGATCTTTTAAAATAATCAGTTAAGGACATAAAATTTTCAAACATGTCTAAATAAAAAATTTAATCTTTTAAATTGATAAAAATAAATTTAACATGTCTGAATTTGTCTAAATAAGAGCCTAATGTAATTGAAAATATTGTTTTACTTGCACTTATTTGTATTTGAATAAAGCTGAAAACATCAAAATCTTATTTAAATAAATTTGAATTAAATTATTATTTTTTCGACACTCTTAAATGATACAACTAAAAGGTTATAATAATCTATCTCTATAATTTTCATCAAAGGGATAAATGATAAAAAAATATTATCAACAATATTTTTTTATTAGATTTATTTGTAAACTATATATCTGATAAGACTGATAAATTTGAAAAGGTTAACTATATAATCAATGCATAAACAATTAAAACTTTATTTTTCCATTTAATTAATTTTAAATAGTTATTAATTTTAATATTAAAATATTTTTAAAAAAATATAAAACAAGTATATGATAATTTTATTGAATGATTGATGTAGAGCATTACTAACATAGTGATTTGATTAATATGGTTCAATTATTATCTAATTGAACTTAAAATTTTAAATAAATTGAATTTAAGTACTCAATATGAAATTATTAAATATATTTTTCATATTAAATACGATAAATTTATACATCATACAAGATAAAAATAAATAATTTTTATTCCTAAAAAAATTATATACTTAAGGTTACGTTCAGCCCAAGTTTTTTTTTAATCAAATATGAATTGGGCTTTTTGTTAAACGTAAAGATCTGTCAATGGCTGACCTTATCTAAGCACTACAAACCCAGATCAACTTTCGTGGTTTAGCGAAGGGTTTTAGTGTACTCGAAGCAGAGGAAAAAGAGATTAGAATCGGGGATGAAACTGGTGACTTTAATTAGTCATAGTCATATCAATTTCAAGTTTAGATTGCTTCAACATGCAATGATTTTCTAAAGTGTTTGTTTTTTGTTTTTTGCAGAAATAATTTTGACAAAGATTTCGCAGAAAGAGAGAGAAATGGCGTTGCAACACTCAATCAATCTCCAGTATTGGTTTTCTCCTGTAAAACAGAGTAAATTGAAGCCCCTTTGTTCAAACTTACTTAAGATGCCTTCCTGGGTATGTTTGTTCACAATTTTCTTTGTGTTTTTTTAAAATAGAAGTGCAAATTCAACTTTCAAGTTACTATATGTTAGCTAATGCAGAATCCAATTTCCATAAGAAATGGAGTAAAAGCATATGGGATGGTAGAAAAATTTGGGAAAAGATTTATGGGACCAGAAGTAAGTGACACTGATGACGATGATGATGAGTCCTCAACGAAAAAGGGTCAGGTTGATGATTCCCTTCATTTTGATGCTGATGAGCGACGCGAATGGAGAGCCAAGATTAGGGAAGTTATACATAAGCATCCCAAAATCCAGGAGGAGATTGACCCTGTTGATAAGTTGAACAAGATGCAAAAGCTCCTGGCAGATTATCCCTTGGTTGTAGATGAGGATGATCCGGATTGGCCCGAAGATGCCGATGGTTGGGGTTTCAACCTGGGTCAATTCTTTGATAAGATCACTGTCAAGAATAATAACAAGAAGGACGATGACGGTTATGATAGTGAGAAGGAAATAGTGTGGCAAGATGATGACTATATTCGTCCGATTAAAGATATTAAGACTGCTCAATGGGAAGAGACTGTGTTCAAGGACATTAGTCCTTTAATCATTCTCGTCCATAACCGCTACAAAAGGTTAATTTTTCCTTTTCAGCAGTCAATGTACAATTACTATTGCAGTATGTTATCATCTCCTTTAAAGATATGGATATTATGCAGGCCAAAAGAAAACGAAAAAGTTCGGGATGAGCTGACAAAAGCTGTGCATATCATTTGGAATTGCAGGCTGCCTTCACCAAGAGTATGATATCCGTACTTCTGTGTTTAATGTGGTTGCATTTCTTTCAATCATTGGTCCTAATTTGTCTTTCCTCATATCAGTGTGTAGCAGTTGATGCTGTAGTAGAGGATGACCTGGTCTCTGCTCTAAACGTGTCAGGCTTTCCGGAAATAATATTCACTAAAGCTGGGAAAATTTTATTCCGTGAGCGAGGTACTTGCTTACCTTAACAGTAACAAATAACAATCTTGGTTTCTTGCCTCCATTTCCTTATTGACTATATGAACTTGTAATCTGCTGTTTGTTCAGCTATTCGAACTGCTGATGAGTTGTCGAAAATGATGGCTTTCTTTTATTATGGAGCTGCTAAACCATCTTGCTTAGATTGCACCGGATACAGACAGGAGAGGATCCCAACAGTTGTCATCGTGAAATAAACAATCTTTATAGCTATCTGCAGTTGTCGTAAAAGTCTGTATGAAATTTTTGTTGTCCATTCGACCGACTTCATATAGTAAATGGTTGTTCTTGTAGTATGTAAATGATAAAATAGGTCGGACCATGTTATTGTAATCTTCTTTGCTTCAACTTCAATGTAGCTTGAATTCAATTCACTCTGAAGTTCTAGATTTTTGATATCATGAAAATCTGTGCTCTATATTTCTTGATCTCGTCCATTTACATCAGAGCATTTAAATCACCCTATTCCAGCTATATTAAAATTCTTTTTGATCCCCCAGATAATGTTATTATGCTGGGTGTATGTATTCAAATCAACCTTTCCTTTTGGGTGGAATGACAGATATCCACAAAGAGCATGTCTTAGACTTGTTAATTTGTCAGTGAAAATTAGAGCCATTTTTTCATCGATCTTCTGCAATTTTGAACCTCGAATTTGTTCATGTAATCTTACAACATTAGCTTTACCATGGTGGCATGGCAATGGAAACCCAACATCATCCCTTACAAGGTCACCAGAGCCATTGATAGACCTATATCCAACTTCAGGGTCATAAATTCGTTCCATAAATCTTTTTGCATCCTTATATTTTCGACATTAGTAAAAAAGTTCACTTTTATCTGTGATTTTTTTCGTTTAGGATTTTACATGTAAAAATCTTGGCATCCTTTTATTTTGCGATAATTATAGTTGTCGTTATTCTAATGACACATATCATGTCAATGAGCAATTATTGCTGCGTGGCATACTGGTGATATTTTAAATTTCTTTCTATATGTTGCAGAGCAGGTAATACATAATATTCCTGATGGGGTTTTACCTTGCAATTTTCGCAATTTAGACTACATTTCAGTTATCATGCAAATATATATCATATTATAAATCTACGTAAAAATGATCTACGAAAACATTATATATGTAAGACCATTCATTTATACCAACTTGATAAAAAATAAAGTATTTAAAATATATAGAAGTCTTTTTAAATATATTATTATTATTTATGTGGTTACAATACAAAATGCTTGAATTGGATACAAGCTTTAACTAAATGGAATGAGTTGCATGGCATAACAACCACGGGCTTTATTAAATGCGAATAAATATTCGGTACATAAAAGGGAACGGTTGTACTTATTTTTTATGGTCTTCTTATTGCAATGAAGTCTTGTGGCGATTTTACACCATAAGCTCTCCCCAAATGTCCTGTCCGAACAATCTGATCTTCCTCTTAATTCTCACATCGAATTTCTTCCGTGGCCTTTCGCCTTCCAGCCGGGGTCTTTCCGTGAACATAATTTCGTCGTCGACTTTCAATCCTTTCTCCGTCGGAAAATGCTGCAAGCTTATCGAAACACAGTTGCCTAGTTCCTCGTTGTTGTGAAACATGCCAATGAATGACCACGCTTTTCCTGAGCTATCCACAACATCCATGCAAAACAGACGGCCTTCTCGAAACTCGAAAATGGAAGCGACGTCGTCGAAAGGGAACGACACGGTGCATTTCTCGACTTCCCTTTGAGTCAGTCGTTTCGAGAAACTTTGTCTGTTTTGTTCTTGGTTCATCTCCATGTTCGGAAAAGGCGGTGAAAGGGTAAGAAAGATGTAAATCGAGAGTAGTGCAAGTTTTAGATTGATATTTTGGGGACAGTGATGACAATCTTAAGATAAAGGGACTATATATATTTGATGAAGAAAGATGTCTTCTGAACTTAACACTTTGGTGAACAGATACGTAATTGTTTGTCGATGAATTGACGTAACTTTTCACTCAATCACTGAACAAAACGACTGTTGTCTTTTCGAGATTAAAAAAATATATTCTTATCTGATGTCGATAATCGGAACAAAACATGTTTTTGGTGGTATGAAATATTGATTTATTCCTTTTTTTATATATTAATTTTTTAATACATGTAAAGATTTTTTTCATATTCATATATCGTACACGAGTGAAAAATGCATGCAAGACATGCTTACGTTAAAGACTCTTACGTACAATTCCAACCGAGAGTTGATGAGAACATTCTACGAACATGATAATCAATGTTAGAGTTTTACTATTGGATCTGGAAATAGTATAACACCCGTCAGTCCAGTACCTGCTTGCTCGATCGCTGCTGGCTTGGGGACAATTCCTGTGGGCTGGGCTCATCCAACCCTCGAACACATCATATATTTTATATCCGGTTACTTTTTAAGTCCTTATTAATATTAAATTTATATAAATTAAACGTTTTCCCTATTTTTTTAGGTTTTGCGTTTTAAATTCTCTTGATTTTGAATGACTTTCCAATTTTTTAGATCAAAATTTTTTAGGCCTTTCTCAATGTTGAAATTAGATAAATTAAGGCTTGACCTGTACATTTTTAAATTTAAATACATTAGACCCTAATTTCTTAATATTTAAATTTTTTGAATTGATGGTTTAATAATTAAACTTTTAACCATATTATGTTAATATTTATATTTTTCCTATGAAATTTACTGTGACTTGGTCTTTGACATTTGTGCATGCTTTTTAAATTTTATCTGCGTGAAATTTAGTGAATTATTATATAAGTTGATCACATTCATTATTCATAACACTAAATACCTTATTTTTGTCTTTCAATCCTTCATTCAAATCATCATTCTTCTTTATGAAGTTTTGTAGACCTTGTCAGCGCTGACAGTTACAAGGGCAACGGAGATTGTAATGGTGCCAAATTTGTACCTAAATGTGAGAAATTTGTGTCGTGCAGCCAATCACTAGTGCGGATTGTCTAAGGAAGGAAAGACAAATTAATATAAAGTTAAAAAATAGCACAATCAAATTATTATAAGGTTGAAAATATATTTTTTAATCGTATTTTAATCGCTGCAGAACCTCCCCACTCAAGTGTTCTTCGTTGACTAAGTAGAAATTTGTAGGAGATCAAAGTCTAATTTAATTTGATTTTAAAAGATAAAAGAAGTAAGAGAAAATATTTAAATAACACCCAAAACTTAAGAAAAAAAAAACAAGTCAAATGTTGTGGAGACAAAGAAAAGAATGATTACAAAGGTATTGCTTCAACAGTTGAGAGTTACCTCATGCTGTTGGCTTTCTTAAGAGGCTCAAATCAATTTGTTAATCAAATATAGTAGGGTTAATAAACCAAAAAATAAGAACAAAAGCAAACTCCGTTTCACGAGATCGTTCAATGACTTCATCTGCAACGTGAAAAAAATGGCCGATCAAGTACGTAACGGAGATTTTCCCTCTCAATTAGTTTACTTACACATTAATAATCATGAATCGTGGGGTTCTTGGGCCAATAATGTAATGCGATGCTTTCCGCTGTCCGAACGAAGGTTATCTCCTTTAATTCCGAGCTGGAAAACAAATTTATATAAGTTCAGCGATAGAAATTAGACGTGATACTTAGCACGCATGGAACTAGTAATTACCTCAACGGAACTTTCTCTCTCGGGGGAGAACCACCGTAAGAGCACCCCGAGATGAAGTATGGCAGGGATTAGCTTAAACAATAGAGGAGTTGTCACCTAGGAATATGAAAGTTGGAACCCTGTCAAAATTTTACTACAAAAATAACCATAGCTGCATTTGCAAGAATTTTTTGGATTCCTTTCTTTTGTTTTCATGAGTAAATTTTCTTATAGTTTTCTAGACTCGAGCCGAGAATAAACCATACCAGGCTAAGTGCTGTTGTCCCAAGAAGTAGCAGGTACAATTTCCCCTGGAAAGCTCAAGGTTTCAGTTATGGAGAAAGATCATAACGCCCACAAAGTATCTCAGCTAGGGATGTACACCCATCTTGTCAAAGCAACAGTACAATGAACTATGATAGTAGCACTGACCTCAACGAGATGGATATTTGTAGCACGGCTGAGAAGAACAAAAGCAAATTCTCCTATCTGTGCCAGAGACATCCCAACCTGTACAAGTAACAGAACTCGAGTAACTTCAAAATCCAAATGCTATCATACATGATCAGGTGTACATCAAATATTGCTTACAAGCAGTGAAGTCTTGTTGTTGTAACCAAAACCCTTGACAACCAAGGCAATTATTATTGTTTTAACGGTTATAACCAGTATAACAGATGCAAGTAAGATATCAACATGGTTCCAGAGAAAATGAACATGGATCAGCATCCCTATGCTGGCCAGGAAGAGAGCAGCGAAAAAATTCCGAATGGGTTCGATCTGCACATAGAGACTAAATTCAATTGATGGAAGACTAAAAGGATGAGCTGATAGTAGAACAGACTATAAATGAATGCACTATCATGATACAACGAAATGTGTAAAGCATAATCTTAACTTGTTCAAGTGTGTGTTGGGCAAGATCAGTTGTTGATATCATCACTCCAGCAGCAAATGAACCCAATTCTAAGCTCAGCCCCAGCTTGTCACTACACTGAAAGTTATACAATCAATTAAATATACGTTCCAAAAAAAAGAGTGGATATCTGACTGTCTTAAATCATTGCAACAATGTAACAAACAACTCAGATGACAGATCAGAAACTGTATGATTTCTTTCTCCCTTTCTATACCTTAAACTAAAGATTTTAGCAGTTGAGCATGTAATTCTACTCTCTGAATCTCAAGCAGATATCAGGACATGATTAATGCTCCTTGTTAATATTACATATAAACTTTTATTTTTTTAATCCATAAAGACACCTGAGTACCAGTATTTAAAAACCAGAAGGTTAGGCTTCATCACTAGCCCTGCTTGTCAGATGTTCACGTGTCACTAAAAGAATGGAAAATGGTATAGACATTTTGTTTACAGATAAAACAAACACGAGATTTGGAAGAAAGCGGGTGTGGCTGTGGCTGTGGATACAGCATACAAAATTCCAGATGCTTGAAAAAGTGAAAGTATAAAGACTACAAACCAGAAAGAAACAAGAAACATACCCAGCCTACAAGTAAGCAGAATGCCACAGAGGCCAGTTGATAGAGTTCATCGGTCTGCACATATAAGAAGTAATTAAACAGATCATAACAGACGACCAGCATACAGTAGAAAAAGAAATTCAGTATGCAATTCTATCTGCAGATAACATTTATACC